GGTAGCCATATTTCATATCAATCTTAGTGAAGTACTTGCTACCTGGCACTCGATCCAACAAATCATCGATTCTGGGTAATGGCTCGGCATTTTTAACGGTTATGTCATTTAGCCTTCTATAATCTATACACATGCGTACGCCGCCATCTTTCTTTGGAATGAATAATACAGGCGCACCATAGGGGGAGGAGCTAGGTCTTATCCACCCATTTGCCAGCAACTCATCAAGCTGGGTTCGCAGTTCATCTAGTTCTTTTGGTGGCATCCTATAGACGGGGCCCTTAGGAATTGAACTTCCTGGTAAGATTTCAATGCGATGTTTGATTGGTCGTTCTACCACACCGCTTGGGGCCTCAGCCACGTCTGCGAACTCTTTCGGGGTCCCCACACTTCAGGCACTGGTCGGCAACTTTCCTTTCTTGCCACACCTTTTCTGTGATTCCTAATTTCTTCCAAGGTTCCCCTTCGGGTAGACCTGGATGAGGTGGGTATGGCTTATCTCACTTGTTATACCATGTGCCTCTTCCTCTTCCCCAGGCAGAATTGTAACCACGGCCACCTTGCGAGGGACCATTGCCCCTTCCTCCCATGTAGTAGCTACCTTCGCCACCACCCCTCTGGTTACCGGGTCCTCTTCCACCACGTCCGCGGCCTCCTCTTCCTCGGCCACGTCCTCTTTCTTGTCGCCCTCCCCCGCGGGCTGCAACGGCTGCGTAACTCCCCTCCTGAGTTACCAACCCGTTGGGTCCTTCCTCGAGACCATAGTCTATCTGGTCCCAAGAAAGTGATTCGACACCTCCCTCTTCAAAGGTCAGAAGGAGGTTGTTTTTCCCTAAGATAGTGCGTTTTTGCCATCTCTTGCCCGCTTGCAGATCTTTCCAATAATGGCAATAGTTAGCCTCAGCCAAGAACCCTGCATGGTCTATAATGCAATTTTACTAAATTTCTCATATGTCATCCCCTCCTCTTTGGTGCGGGGATACAATTGAGTTCGGACGGGATCGGGTAAGGCACGAGCAAAACTATTCAAAACTTGCGCCGGGGTAAGGCCATGCTCGCTACATTGTAATAATTCATCCATGGTTGCTTTTAGTGTTGATCTTCTTTTCCATTTCCTGTCGGGAAGGTTTAATATTAATAGTTTTGTCCTTCGTGCTAAGTTTTTGTCTTCGAACCTTTCCCTGACGGCTTTGAGAAAGTCCTCAATACGGGTTTGTTGGGAGTATTCCCCCATTGAACTACATCCCGCTTCCTTTTGTAATGAAATGGCAAAGCTCATTGCGTCGTCAGCCATACACGAAGTGGCCATCAGGACTCGATCCCAATATGGAATCCGTTGTCCATAGACATAGGACTCTACTGCCGCCATCCAATGTAGCACGCTTTCTTCCTTCTTGCCTGTGTAGGTCCATGGAATTTTAACTTTAATTTTATTACTAGGCCCCGCTCCTTCTTCTCGTAGCTTCCCTTTTCCTTTTCGGTCGCCATCACCTCCATCCCCGTCTCCATCACCGCCTCCTCCTCCGCTGCTACCTTGCACTATTCTTTCAATCACAGCCGGAGTGAAGGTTTGGGTGATGTGATTATCCAATTTCTTGATGTAAGACTGAATGTGCAGATCTACGTCTTTGGCGGACTTCTACAGAAAGGTGTTCCAGGCATTTTCAAATTCATGTTGACTGTTTTCAACTTTTTGTAGGGTCCGATTGATTGCAGCGACTTCTTGCTTAGTATGGAGAACCGTTTCAGTCAGAAGGGCAAGTTCTTCTTCGGTGGCTGCCTGTTTTTCTTTTTGTGCCTGCAGCTCGCTGTGCAGTCTTGCCCCCTCTGCCTGTAACTTCTTTCTGTCATCAAGCTCTTTACGCTTTGCTGCTAACATTTTGCTGTGCAGCTCAGCGCGTTTTTTTTCAAGCATGAGTTCTCTTTCCCTTTGATCTGTCACAGTCGCCAATCTTGCAACGAATATATCCCTTTCTTCTTCCGTTTCTTCTGGTCTGTCACTGGAGTAGGCGTACTGATCATACCAATCCAGCGGTTTGACAAACACTTCCCCCCTGATTTCACTTGTTTCACCACCTTCTGCACGCCGCCTGACAAGTCTTTCTCCCCCTTCTTCAGAGACTTCTTCGTCTTCTTCTTCAATAGTCTGCAATTCATCTTTTATTTCCTGGTCCAACTTCTCTTTTAATTTCTTCTTTAACTCTTCTTCTTCTAGCTGGGCCTTCTTCTTTAATTCCTCTTCTTTCTTTTTCTTTCTTTCTTCTCTTTCCTTCTTTTTTTCTGCCTGCCGGCGATCAATCTCAGCCTGCTCAGCAGGTGTGGGCCTGGCTTCACTGCTCCTGAGCGCATCATCATACGGGAGGTACTCACTCTCCCGAAGCCCAGGGGAAACATTACTCGGAACAGTGGGCCCAACAGCACGGACAGGGCAATCAGGCCCTGCATGGGAAAATCGTCCACCATGATGGGACTTAGCACAGGAGGTCCTCCGCAGGTCCCACCAGGTAGGTCTCCCAACTAATCTTTAGGCTACTCCAAGTGAATGTGGATGGAATAAACACTTTGCTTTGTCTTTTTTTTTTTTTTTTTTTTTTTTGACTTCTGGGTGTCACTGTTTCAATAATAACAAATTTCAGACTGAAATATAATAACATACCTTTCTTTTTTTTTCTTTGTCCTTGCTGCAGATCCAAATGTCGAACTAATCAGAACAATACTACAGGTCAAGGTCCGCTTGATGCCTTCTGCGGTTCACTGGCTGGTTGGAACTTTTTCACTTCCTTATACTAACTCTGTCTGTTGTCCGCTTGCGCAGGTAGGCACTGGAGTACTCACTTAATCAAATATCTGGGTCTCACTTCAATCACACTTATCCTTACCCAGTTTGATTACACTCGGTACCTTACTTGTATCTGGTGTGGCAACTGCCATACTCCTATCTTGACTATAGCGCAGACTCCAGACTAGAGGGTTGGAGAAGAGAAGGACTCTGATCCTTTGTTCACTCTAAACTCCAACATGACAAGTTCCTTTGACTTCAACCATCCAGACTCTAGACCCTGTGACCCGATTTGGGAGCAGCAGCAGCGACCCCAGAGAGGATAAGGAGAAGGAGCACACACACACATACAGCCAGGTAAGGGGTAAAGGGGTGCTTCTCTCTTTGGCAGCGATCGTTGATGAAGGCTCCTCGTCGCTCCGCACTCCAAGCTCCAGGTAAGTAACCTTCTGCCCCTTCTTCCCCGGCCTACTCCTCTCCCATATCCTTGTCCACCACTTCTTCCACCATCGCCAGCACAGTCAATCAAGCCGGCGGTTTCTCCTTCCTCTCGCCGGCCGTACTCATGCCAGCGCAGTGAGTACAACAAGTATCTGCTCCGATACCAGAATTGCAAGGAACCTGACTGTTCACAGCTTGCTTGAGAGCATCACACCGCATGCATACATGTCATCACTCGTACAAAGTGGTCTCACACAAAACCAGACTGAGATGAGATAAGAACCAGTAGCGCAGCTTATATTATCAATGTCATTGAATACAGAGAGTATCATGAGTTCCAGAGTTCAGCGCCAACAAGAGGTTAGTCTCCTTCATCAAACAACAGCATGGGACCTGGCTCTACCAGCGTTCTTCCTCAGATCTCAAGTGTGGCGCAACAGGTAAGTATCCACCATATCCAGAACTTACTCCCTGTCTTCTCTCTCTCTCTCTCTAGATCTATGTCTTGGTTCTCTCTCTTCACTCTGCATGCACACTCTCACCTACGAAGATCTACTTTGTATGTTACTCACTGATGTCCTACTGACTAACCCTCTATTACTAACATGGGCTGGCGCAGCTATGGCTTCCCTGCAGCCAGCGCCCAGCCTCCCTTCTTCCTGGCGCAGCTCTACTTCAGCCAGCGCCTGTCCAGCCAGCTAGCGCACAAGTGCCGCAGCACTTCCACGCATCAATGCCAGTGGAAAATCTGTCCTGTGGGGAGGCAGTCTCGTTTCTTATAGTGCTGGCCTCCCCAAACGAGGGCTGAATCTTGTCTGTCTTGGGTCCTTTCCCAGTCCCAGCCTCTGTGTATGTGTCCCAGACTCCCTGTCCTTCAAGGGTTGCTGCTGCTGCGGCCTGTAGGCCTTAATTTCGGACTGCCTATCTGTATCTAGACTGTCCCCCTGACTCGAATCTGGACTGAGACTTAACTCTTTGATTTCCTTTTAGACAGACACATCTTTTGTATGAACAGACACTTTTACTGCACGAACAGACACATTCACTGCACGTACAGACACATCCTTGCATGAATAGACATGACTTGCGCGCCCCCTGGATGAACAGATGTGACCCAAATAGTCAGATTTTGCAGCTGTTCGTCCAGGGGCACAACTGTGACCTTTGACAATGTCTTTTGCTTTAGTTTAGAATGTGACCTTTGACCCAGAGAAAATGTCTTTTGATCTGCTTTCACGAATTGGCTCTGGGCGAGGTACCCCAATATGCTGCTTTCGTCAATCAGGGGCTGTATCGGGTAAAGGCCCTTTTATTATGGTTCCATCAGATGTGGCCTGATCTTTTGAACCTAGCTGTGGGTGGACTGAGTTCTGGTCCACATGTGGGCTTTCACTTTCCAGCTCTCTTATGAGTACTGACTCGACAAGAATGCTGGCAGTCTCTCTGGGATTTTCAACATAGCAGGTGTCCTGCATCATCAATATGTTTACATCTTCTGAACACCATCCTCCTACCATTTTCAGCATGGCAGAAGCAAGTGAGAACAAACAGAGTTCCTGATCAACTGGTGGACTGTGGCCCCGCTCTGTTGTTGCCAGGTTTAAGGACTGAGCATCAGGGAATCTCATCTGGGAACAACGTGGAGAGTCAGCTGCAGAATAACCGATTGCCAGGCCTCTCCCCCATCTGTTCTCCAACTTCGAGTACCGTGGGTTCTCCAAGCAGGCCAGCCGGAAATTCAAGTGCGAGCTCGGAGCATGGAGGTCTGCAGCCGGAGCGATCAGCCGAAGGGACACAGGATGCACGTTTGAATCGACCCAGCCAACAAATGGGTGAATTTTACGGAGCAAGTACTATTATGTCACACAGTCTCTCGCGATCAGTGGAGCCACTGGTTCGTTCTCTTGAAGAAATGAATGGTTACTCTGTTGGGTCAAATGGTTCTGTGTCCTCTAGTAGAATCTGCAGTGTTGGTTTGTCACCAGTCCATTCTGATCCCGGCACTGATAGAAAGGTGGGTGGCATGGATGTAAGGCTCAACCTCTCTGGACCAGCAGAGCTTGTTACGGGTCAGCAGACCAGTGAGAAGTCCGCAGGTGCCGTGCAGAGTGCAGTTGTGCGTGGATTGGTTGCAAGAGAAAGTTATCATAGTCTTCTGCAGGCAAGGCAAGGCTACACAATGCTGAACATACATCATGTTCCACTGCGTCTTCCGGAACTCATTGTGCGAGACAGCTCACGAGTTCAGGATGGCATGTCAATGGGAGAGAGGGAAGTTGTCGCTAATGCAGGTCCATCAGTTGACTCTGCAAGTAACTCCTCCTCGTCTACTGTGGATGACATGGTGTGGGAATCAGCCCCAAGGGGAAGACTGGACGGCATCGACAGGATGGGCAACAAGAGAGACCTGGTCACGAGTGACTCAACTGCAAAGGAAAGACTGGACATCATGGAGAGGATGAAGGCCAACAACAGAGACCTGGTAACACATGCACTCACTTCCAAATAACCTACCACAGTTTTCATGGATAAAATTATTAGATTTCCAAGTTCCAACTACATATGATCATCAGGAACAGCAAGGTCTGAAATGTTACATGATTTGAAAGCAGATTGCTATTTGCCACACTGCACCGATATGATCCTTTCAACAGAATTTCAACTGTGATCCAGAACCATAGTTACTGAGGAATGCATCCTTCAGTATCACATAGACATGTAGTGGTGTCCAGGAGTTAACACGCCGATGACTGTCAACTACTGCGTCCGAATCCCACATGAAGGAAAAGCTGACGCACCTAGAAGACGTCTAGGGGTAGGGATACCAAAAGCTTGAGAAATGGTTAACCCGCCTCACATTTTGTAAAGTCCAACGATGTGATGTCCAGCAAATTTGGCACCAATTCATTTTGTGGATACCAAACTAACTAACAGGGGAAAATGAAAGAAACAAACCTAAAATACCAACAGACGCAGCAGTTTCAGGGTGTCTGCCGCCCCCCCCACACGCCGCTCGTTTGAAAATTCTTGGTCCACAATGGGCAAAGTTTCTGGGACCCAGCTATCAATTTTCACTGTTCTTTTTTACAGTGACTTTCATAACCGTCCAACCAGATTTGCCACTAATTCGTATAGGGGATACCAAACAAAATAAGGGCATACTCACGCTACACGCTCAAAATCGCAGAAGCGCAAAGTCAGCGCCCAGAACAAGTGCTTCTAAAAGGAGAAGTCTATCTGGCTGCTCATTTTGCGATTCTGCGATTTT